TTCCAGTGTCCTGCCATGGGCAGGGACACCTTCCACCAGCCCAGGTTGCTCCATCCCCATCCAACCTGGCCGTGGACACTTCCAGGGATGGGGCAGCCACAGCTTCTCTGGGTGACCTGTGCCAGGGCCTGCCCACCCTCTGAGTAAAAACCATTAAAATTTCCCTAAACCTCAGCCCACGTCCTGCCCAGAACTCCTAAAGTTGGGGGCCTGTGTCTCTCTTGCACTGCTCTCAAATAAAAGATGCCTGGCAAGGGACCCAAGGGACCCACCAGCAGCTCTGAAAATTGGCATTGATCATAACACTTAAACCCTCCCTAAATCCCCCTTGCCCCCAGCAGGGATCAGTGCCTGGAACACCAGATTCAGCCAGGGCAGAGGGAATAAGGGGATGACTGAGAGGCTGCAGCCCTGGAACCACTGTCTCACAACCCACAGCTCCCAGCACAACCAGGTCCGTTGGGAGGGATTTTAACTTGGGCAGAAGGAATCCAGACTGAAATTATTTTTGGGGTATTAATGATCAGATTAATGTCACACATATGCAGTGATGGGCACAGCTGACACTGCCCCAGCGATGCCAGTGCGGGTCCCTGCAGTGCAGCTCACCTGGAGCAGCAGGAATGTGCCCACCACCCGGGCAGGGATCAGTCCAGCCCCCCAGGGTGTCCCTGCCCTGTGTCACTGCCTTGAGCAATCACCATGTTTGTGGTGGCTGATTAAGGATTGCGGTTTATAGAGATTTTTTCTCTCGTAAGCAGGGTAAAGAACGCCAGGGATGGTTTATGATGTTGTCACAAGGCACTGGGGATGGGAAGGAAATTTCCACTTGCCTGTCTCTGCTGCTGGCCACGCCACAGGCAAGGGTCAGGCAAGAGAACCCCAGTCCAGGCACCTCTAAACAAGCCTCCATCAAACCATTTCCCCTCCCCAGAACTCGGCTCCTACAGACAAAAGCTCTTGGCCTCAGGTGATGGAAACCACTGGGATGTGGGAGTGACTTTGGCTGGTCTTTGGGCTCCTGTGAAGCCTCTGCATGGACCAGTGGAACAGGTGGCTGGGACCACCTTCATACTCGAGGGAATGTATTTTCCCTGGTGGTGGGAGCTCCAGCCACAGGTTCTGCACCCAGAGCCAGCCAGTGCTGCCCCAGCATCCCGTGTCTGCCATGTGGGACTGAGGTAAAATCCTTGGAGAAAGCAGCCTGGGAAATTCCAGTGCTGTGCCAAGCCCTGACTGATTTGTTTTGGAAGATTAGGGAGAGGGAAGGGTTTTTTGCAGGGCCCTGGCTGATGTGCCACTAACCCAGGAGCCCAGGGAATGCTGCTCTGCCCTAACCGCTGATGGGCACGAGGATGGCTCCAAGGGAAAGCAGCACTGCCCACACACAGTTCCAGTTAACTCAAAGAACAGGGACAAAACCAAACCAATCAAACTCAGGATATTTTCAGCACCTGCCAGCTGTGACTCCTAAAGCCCTCGGACACATAAATCCTAGGGGAGTCTCCTGATGGATAAGCAAGGCTGGGTGATCACCTGGCTCCTACCAAACCCTCTCAGCACAGCCAGCACAGGGGCAGGACCAGCCAGTTTAAGCTACAAGGCCAGGCTGGACAGGGCTTGGAGAAACCTGGGGTAGTGAAAGGTGTCCTTCCCCATGGCAGGGGGTGGAACAGGATAATCTTTAAGGTCTCTTCCAACCCAAACCATTCTAGGATTCCACATCTCAACCCAGCCATCCTCCTGTGTCCTCCTGAGCAGAGGCTGCCCCAGCACCTGCCTTGTGTTTCGAGGTGCCACGAACACGTAAAGACAACAGCCCTGCTCTGAGCAGCCTTTGCCCCTCACAGAGATGAAATCCTTGGCACTCAGGTTTGCTTGATAAGCTACATGGAAACTCTGCCCGTGGGAAAAGGCGTGGGGATGAGAACAGATAAATCTGTTCATATTAACAGACACTTATTTTTGTCCTTGTTTGGGCTTGCACCGATTTGTTAAATAAGTGACAACAGCAACTGTGTCAATTCATACAGGAAATGGTGGTACCAAACAAGACACAGTTTCCAAAAACCCTTTTTAGGCATCAGAGACAAGATTCCCCACCTCCATCTACCTCGGCAGAGAAGTCAGGATACCCCTATTTTATCCAGCCCGTGTTTCATTCTGTTTCCCTTTGCTTCACCCTGCAGATCTGCCACCTTTCCTTTGCCTTTCCATACAATCCAAAGTACCCAAACTAGGGTTTGTATAGAAAAGCAGATTTGGGGATTGGAACTGGATGATCCTTAAGTTCCCTTCCAATGCAAACCATTCTGGGATTCTAAACCCAAACCACTAAAATTCCAAAAAGCACTTAAGCAGACTCTTAAGGACATGATCAAGTACCATTAACAGCTAATCACCCCAGAATTATTTGGGTTGGAAGGGACCTTAAAGCCCATCCAGTGCCACCCCCTGCCATGGGCAGGGACACCTTCCACCAGCCCAGGGTGCTCCAAGCCCCATCCAACCTGGCCTTGGACACTTCCAAGGCTGGGGCAGCCACAGCTTCTCTGGGCAACCTGTGCCAGGGCCTGCCCACCCTCGCAGGGAAGAATTTCTTCCCAATATCCAACCTAAGGCTCCTCTTTCAGTTTGAAACCATTCCCCCGTGCCCTGTCCCTTCATGCTCTCCTAATGCTTAAGTGCTCTCTGGGGATCAGTGCTGGTGCATTTTAAAGGCCCAAATTCTGCCTGGATTGCTGTGAAAAAGTTATCATGAAGAATTTTGGTGCTGCAGAACGTGGTGCTGCAAGGAAAGACCCCGGCAGAGCACCAGGGTCAGCTCTTTCAAAGAGCCATAAAGAAGCAAAAGCAATTCCTTTGACACTGCCTTATCTTTCCATATTTATCTTGGGGACAGATAATCCCCACGATTACTCAACTGGGGCTGAATGAGAACTCGCAGAGTGATTTGCAGCTCGTTGCTGCAGCACAGGTGAGGTGATCTCTGCCCCTCCAGAGAGCCCTCATTGTGTAAGAGCCTTCCTTCCAATCGCTACCGTAATGCTCCAGTGCAGATGGAAATTTCCAAGGATTCTTAATACAGACTTACCCCCGTCTGCTGGAGAACAGGGACAGATTTGGGTCAGTTCTGCGTGCACAGACTGGTCTCTGAAGAGGGAAAATAACCAGTAGGATGAGGCCACGCTTAGACCTTAATTCCAGTATTGAACATTCTTAGTTCTGGTATTTGGTGTTAAAATCCCCCAGGCTCTCGCAGAAGGGAGGGATGGTCCGTCCCACACACACCTGCACACCTTCCCTGCAATGACCTGGCCCCTGCTTCCCCTGCCTGTCCTGTCAGCATCTCCATCCTCAATAACCACATCTCCTGTGCCCCAGCAGCACTGAGACCTCAGAACTCCTGTCAGCTCCAAACAAGGACCTGTAACTCTGCACAGGGGTTGAAATGCTGGGCACTGAGCTAACAACTGCTTTTCATTCCCTGCTGGGTAATGCCAGGGAGGAGATAAATAATTTAATTTCCTAGAAGGTAACTTCTTTTGTCCATCTTTTCAGAGTGAGCAGGTGATGCTCAGGCAGGTGAGGTGGGTGGAGCACAGACACAGTGAAGTGTGATCACCACAGTGTGGCTGGGGCTTGGACAGAGCAAAGACCAACACCCAGGACTCAGCATGGACAGACAGGAGGATCTGGTGGTACCTGTGGGAACAATCTGTGACAGGAATCTCACAGGCAGGGCCCACGTGCCACGGCTCCCTCGCTTTGCCATGGCAACTGGACTCAGCATCCTCCTGTGCAAAGCTTCCCAGCCCCACGCTGGGGGAAGGAGAGAGGACTGACAGCACCCAGGAACAGCCAGCTGGGCTGGAACAGGAGGGAGAGGTAGAGATCCATGGACAGCTCCAGGGAGCCCCAGCACTCACACACAGCGCAGGAAGCAGCGGCAGACGGTAGAGGTCACCTCTCCTGGCTGGAAAAACCTTCCTCAGCCTTCCTCAACCAGCAGCTCCCAGCAAAGCAGCACTGTGTCAGCAGCACCAGGCACCCTCCACGTCCAAACATTCCCTGGAGAGTGGTGACAGATTGATTTCTCTCTTTTGGTTAGTGGAACCCTGAGCGCTGGGCTCCCACACCCGTCCTCCCCACACAGCTCCCAGGGAACCACAAACTCCTTTCATCCTGCTCTAACCCTGAAGCACAAGGTGACCCACTTCCCTCACCACTGTTGGCAACTGAGAGAGGAGAGACTCTGGCAGAGCTCTCGCAGGAATGATTTCCCTTCTCCTGGCTGGATGCTGTTCAGCTCAACAGCTGGAAACGGAGAGTCAGACTCACCCAGTCAAAGGGTGACGAGGCCACCACCGTGTTTTCATCCCATGGCACAGCTCTGCTCCTGTGCCACCTCCTCCAGTGCTTCCCTTGGATGAACAAACAATACAGGGACTTCAAAGAGAAGTGATGAGCAGAAATCCCTCCAAGATCTAATCCAAACCCATCTTCTTTCAGTTGAAGGCTGTTTCCCCTTATCCTGTCACTATACACCCTTTCTGTTTACTGCTTCTGCTCCTCTGAAATTGTGACTGCAACTTCGAAGAACTGTTTATTTTTCCTGGTATCTCAATAATATCCATCCCTTCATCTCCAGTCCAGGCCCACATCAATCTTTTCCAAAGCATTCTCACACTACAGAAAGTCACAAACAGCACAAAAACGGTGGTTTGTCACAGAATCACAGAGGGGTTTGGGTTGGAAGGGACCTTAAAGCTCATTCAGTGCCACCCCTGCCATGGGCAGGGACACCTTCCACCAGCCCAGGTTGCTCCAAGCCCCGTCCAGCCTGGCCTGGGACACTTCCAGGGCAGCCACAGCTTCTCAGGGTTTGCCTGTAACTGCTTTAAAGAAACACTCCTGGTGAGGCATTTGGCGAGAAGAAACCTGCATGCACTAAATCAGATATAAATAGGTAATTTCCAGTGAGTAAGACAGGAGACAAATTATAAATACTAAACATTTATTATTTTTCTCATAGGAAGGTTGCAAGATTCAATTTCAAACAACAGGACAAGGGATTTCATTACTCTTGGGAATTTTGTTTCGCTTCTTTTAAGGGGAAAGAAGAAACTGGTGTAAAGATACTACCAGAAACAGTGCAAATTGAGATTAATTTCTTTCTTACTTTCAACCATCCCAGTGCTGAACTGCCAAGCTTAGCCCTTCCCAGTTAAACAACATCTACTTTCCAGTTTCTTGTACACCACTGAACAAATTTACATCAGGGCTCCCCTTCTCCTCTACCCTTCCCCTACAAGAACGCCCAGCACAGGGATAGCCTTGGACAACAGTAAGCCTGGAGAAGCCAACACGGTGACACTTCACCAAAATTAGACCAGAAGAGAATGAAAATGAACCACATTGCACCTTCCTGATCAGCCATGCACAGTGCAGGTGCCCAGTGATGCAGCTCTCCAGCGTTTCCACCGTCCTGCCACAAATACACGTTACACACCCACAAAAAGACAAGGGAGGAAAATCAAAGAACCCAACAACACTTTACTTTCAGGTTTAAACTACGGAAGGCAAGCTTTAGACAGGAATCACTGACACCTTGTGAAAGTCCATCATTAGACATCTGGGAATGGAGGGCAAGTCTTGCCTCATAACAATTGCTCACAAAAAATACTCCTTAAAAGCACCCAAAGCCAGCAGGACAGTTCCCAGCACCGTCACATGGACACAGGCTGGGGTTGGCACATGCAAAGTCCATATTTCTGCATCCTGGCCCAAGCCAAGGCAGTCACTGGGGCTCCTGGGCTCCCTTCCCTCCAGCCAGACCCTCAGAAGTCGATGTTTGCGAGACCTGGGTGAAGAGAAAGAGGGATTAGGGAGGAAAAACAAGTGGTTATTCTTATCCTAACAGCGCTTCACCACTATTAGGACAGTCAGGCACAGGAAGAAGGATGCTTTGAGCATTACTTAATTTTTTTAAACTTAAATGTAAAGGATTTGGTGGGAGGAAATCAGGAAACAGGTTGATTTTTACATTTCTAACCCTCTTTTGACTGTGATGAAGCCATTAATTTGAATAAGCCAATCTGCAGCAGTTGTTCAAGGCAGAAGGAACAAACAACACAGAATGTTCATGAACCTCAGATTCTGCCCATGAAATTAAAAAGAGAAAGCTGGGGAAAGTACCCTTAATGAGGGCAGTAAATTCACATGGATTTAAACCCCCTGTTTTAGATTAAGATGTGTCTATTCCATGGCCAAACCTCCAATGGACATCTGATTATCTCCTTTGAGACTGGTCTTTTTTAACTTGTAAGATACCCTGCACCACTCAACTCAGTCCCCAAAACTGTCCTCAGTCCTTCTCTAATCCCAGCAGAGAACAATGCTGAGATCCCAGAACAGTGGTTCCCATGAATATTTTGCCCTTAGCTCCTCCAGGATACCTTGAGTATTACAGTCATCACTCTGAGCCCTGAGAAATGAAGTGGAAAACATGGATTTTTGAGCTCAGGGCTATGGAGGCTGGAGGATTCAGGTGACCAACAGCACAAGGCAGCAGCTCTGCTACAGCAGCAGCAGCAGGGTGTTGAAGATCTCCCTTCACCAGCTGTATCAGATGCTTTGCTGCTCAGAGAGCACCTATTCCCATCTGCTAAGGAACAGTCAATAAAATCTTGGATACTCTGTCAGAAGCAAAGGAAGGGAAGAGAAGGAGAAGGGGAGGAAATGATAAAAACTGGCAGGCAGAGATTTTCTGGAAAGACTGAAGTCCCTGAAATTGCAGAGAGAAGTCAAGATAAACTTGTGCCTGGAACAGAACTGTCTTTGATTTGGACAGGTACAGGCTGTAGCCATCCATCCTTCACCCAAACCACAATTCTCCTGATTTTACTACTTGTTAAGCAGCAGCAACATAGAAATGCTACAGAAAGCATAAATCAATTCCCTCCATTTCAAAGAAACGCCAGTCTAGGAGAGAGAGAATTTTAAGACCAAAAGGAACATTTTAAAAGAGTTAATTTCAGAGGGAATTTTTTTCCCCCGGGAGAAAGCAGCGTGGAAAACTCCAGTGTCAGATGGCTGTAAATGGGGACAGTGCAGAAGAAGCCTGGGATAAGCAATACAAATTTATCTTTGTGTTGTCAGGACACTGTGATTTCATATACAGTGTGTCCATATGGTACTTCCCATGCATAGGATTTGTAAACCTTTCAATTAGCACTGATAGGATAAAGCAGGCAGTTATTTAAAGTAACCCATACGGCATCTTCTGGTGGAAAAATTCCAACTCTCCTCTACTGGACAGGCTTCCAACTTGGATGCCCATAAACCCTCCCAGGGATGTGGAGAAACAATCCCCAGCTGGGAGGTGCTCCCAGCCCCAAGGGCAGAGCAGCAGAGCCCACGGCTGGGACAGGGTGTCTCTATCCTGCACTGGAGTAACATCCCAATCCCAGTCTTTCCACATAAGATTTCCATGGGAAGGATCACTCCCACGTGTTGGAGAACATTACCCAGGTTGCTGCTGTCCTTTGAAGCCCAGCAGATGCAGTAGTGCTGCATTAGTTGTTCAAACAGTTCCTTTTCATCCAGGAATTCAAGTGCTTCTATTCTGGAGGAACAAAATAAAAATTGGGATTCAAGCTGGAGTCTCAGTAGAATCTTTAAGAAACTCTTCACTGCACAGGAGTGAAAACTCTGGCCAATAAGGCAGTTACCTTTCCAGGGGTTTGTCCACGGTGCCACCACCGCTCCCACCCTTGCTGTCCATGTACCAAACAAGTCACCCACAGGATGTCTTCAACTTCTCCTTCCTGGACTAATATTTCATATTAGTCTGTATTTCATATTTCATATTCCAGGACTAATCTGTGTAACTCCTCACAAATACCAGTATTTGTCTTCCAAGCCCTTTTTCTGCAGAGATCTGGTCCTGCAGCCCCAACAGTGCAGCCTAATGAAGGAGATCCATCCTGACCAAGGGATGGCAGTGAATCGCTGAAGACTCTGTTTCCTCCAGAGAATCACAAGGCCTTACCCTGTCTGGGGAGAGTGATGAGCACACCAGTGCAGCTCCCAACAGCTCTCCCACAGGAGCCCATGATGAAACACAAACTAAATGGTACAAATAGAAGGATTTGTTTTCCCTAAAATGGTTCCCACCTTCTTAAAGGAAGGTCTTTAAATGTCTTCCCCCAAATGGGAGATTTTCTCCCAAGCTGTGCCTGCTTTACAAAGCTTAACCTGGCCCATTCCTCTCTCCCTCCAGACTACTTGAATATCAGTGTTTATTTTCCACGCTAAATATTTGGAGGAGCTGCTACTGAGGATCAAAAGAAGCTGAGGGGCAAAAGTTCCAAAATACACTCCCAGATGTAAGTGCTGCAGAAGAACACTTTTGTAAAGACTTTTATAAATAAAAAGCATTATTTGCCTCATTAATACTGAAGGACAGAGTTTACATAACCTATTTCCTGGCATTTGGAACAAGTGGAAGGAGCTGAACAGATCTAAGGTAGTCAAAAATGCTGCAAAGAAAGCACAGGCTCTGTGTCTCCACCAGTGCCATATGGCACCACCACACACCACTGTTCCTATTTAAACCACCTCTGATTTCCACCCTCACCTGTTCAGTTCCAGGGTTTGAGAAACCCCCATATGTGAATATTTGGACCAAGGTAACTTGTTCAGCTAATTCAAACTATAGTTAATGACTCACAGTAATTCACATTTAACATTATACCCCTAAAAAGTTACTCCTTAAAAAGTTTCCCATTTTTTAAGTATTTCTTCACCGAAAAAAAAAATATAACAAAATGCATGCAAATTACTGGCTGTTAAACAGCCTTTGGTTACCCCCTCTGTGCTCTAAGCTCTGCAGACCCAGCAGTTTCCCTCATGAAGATGACTTCAACGTGCTGTGGTTTAACCCCAGCCAAAATGTCCACAAGGAACACGTCAGGGACTGCAAAACCTCAACACGGCATTTTCTGTGGCACCTTTTGTCTGCAAATTCCTGCCACGAGATGCTTTACATTGCCCCACGGCCAGTGGCTCGTGAATGCTGCTCCAGGCATCATCCCTGAGGCTCTGCAGGGCTTCACCCTCAGACAGGGGCAGCACGAGCCTGCAGCCAACTCTGTCAGACCAGGGAACCCCATGCTGCACATTGATGTGAACAGCCTTGGAAATGGCATCTGAAGATGGCCTTTGGTTCCAAAATGAATACCTTTTGACATCAGCCTGTGGCAAAAAGCTGTACACCTTCATCATGTCGATGGCACGTGCGGTTTCCCAGCCGTTCAACAGCAGACGCTCCCTCTGTAAAACACGGAGGCAGCACAGCTTTGAGGACTCCAGGCAAAAATGCCAGAGGGCAGTTTTTCCCCCCAAGGATTTTGCAGGGCAGCTGCTTGACCTGTTCTCTGCAGAGCTCAGAGTCTTTTCTAAGCATGTGCTGGTGATCTCTGTGCAGAGAGGGCAGGGGGGCAGGCAGGGCTGGGCTCTGATCCACTGCAGCTTTTGGACAACTACTGACAGTCAGTGGGATCAAAGAGAAGGCTCCAGGGTGACCCAACTGTGGCCTTCCAATACCTGAAGGAGCCAACAAGAAAGATGGAGAGACACTATTTAAAAGGGCCTGGAGTGACAGGACAAGGGCAAATGGCTTCCCAGTGCCAGAGGGCAGGGTTAGATGGGATATTGGGAAGAAATTCCCCCCTGTGAGGGTGGGGAGGCCCTGGCACAGGTTGCCCAGAGAAGCTGTGGCTGCCCCTGGTTTCCTAGAAGTGTCCAAGGCCAGGCTGGACGGGGCTTGGAGCAACCTGGGCTGGTGGAAGGAGTCCCTGCCCATGGCAAGGGGTGGACCTGCTCCAACAGGGCATCCACAGACAGAGCGTGCAGGCACACTGATCCATGTTGATATCACAGCCACCCAGAGCTCTGTGCCCCTCTCACCTGGGAGTCCAAGGACCTGCAGACCTCCACCCCGGCCAGGTTGCACTGCCGCCGCTGCAGGTTCTCGATCATGATCTGCCCGAACCGGTCCGTCATGTTCACCTCAGGTAGAGAAGGAGACAAAAGTGTTCCCCCTTCCGCACACAGCGTGACCGTGGGGAACAGCAGTACCCTGGTTAAACTCCTGCATTGCCTATGTCATAAAACGTACAGGACAACAGCAGAGTGAGTTGGACATCCTCACACCGGGCCTCGTTCCCTCTGCCACCACCTCCTCAGCTCCCTCGTGTCACAGCCACAGCCACCGGCTCGGTGACAGTGCCCCTGCCCCGACAGACACGGGCACTGACAGCAAAGCTGAGCTGCTTTAAGCTCTCAGCAACTTGGTTCATTCTCCAGCAGTGATTTACAGCTTGGAAGATCCTGTTACTAATTCCTGGAGCCACCTATCTCCCCCGAGGCAGCCTTTAACTTCCACTGAGGGAAGCGGAGTTCATGCTGATGTGATTTTTGCTCCACTTTGCCAAAGAACAGAGAGGTAATTATGTAATGTTATACACTCAGAGCCAGCACTCAGCACCATTTCTTTTTCCTCTGTCTCAGCTAAACCAATATTCTATGGTTTTCTCCACATATGGATTAAGTCTCAATTATTTTGCTTCAACATAGCCCAGAAATTGTCTTTCAGAATAGCTGTATACTCCTTCTAACGAGCTAACCAAGCTACAAGTTAAAACACATTGCTACAGAAATTCAGCAGAAAACTGCTGTCTCTACAAAAGGACACGGCCCACTCTTATTTCACAACAACTCCCACCTTGGAGTGCAATTTTTATGACAACAATGCAGGTCCAAAAATGCCATTTTGGTTTTACCTGCTCATAATTGATAAACATGGCCACGGGAAAGGTGCTTGCTGCCCACTTGAGCAGGTTTGCAGACTGCTGGGGGGTCATGTAAACCAGCACACACTCTGCCACCAGTAGTGTTGGCAAACTGCAAAACAAAACCAAAGCACAGAACTATTTCCAGCAGAAGAACAAGAAAAATCCGTAAAGAACTGTTAGTGAGCAGTCATTTCGTGTCTTGAAAGAGCTTCATTTTTTATGAACTAGACACTGAAGTTTGAATGAAATCTCTTCATCAAGTCAACTAGAACTAGGCTTTCTGGCACAGGAGACTTCTGTGGTTACAAACCAGAGATTTTGGAAAACAAGCCCCTCTAAGTCAGCCCTGAACACAGAATAATGTGCATTCTCTAAGCCTTCTCTCACAGCAGGAACTGAGGAGTCTTAAAATTCCCTTTGCAGAAGAACTGTACTCTGTATAAACAATCCACACTCTTCTAGAGATCAGTAAAATCAGGAATAAATTACAAAATTTAAAAAAAAAGTTTTCTCTTACCGAAGTTCTAAGAATTTTAATTAGCCAAATTTGTTCTGAAAAATATCTGTAAAATACTCTTCACATATTATTATCTAACGAAATGCAATCTATAGTTTGCACGTTGCCTCTTCCCCCTCCATCCACAAACCAACAAAAATAGACATCTACACGAGTGATTTTCTTCAGAATTATTGAGTTTGCTTTTAATTGCTAGAATGAAAGGGAAAAAAAAGTCACTAGAAGCAGGAGAAATTCCACAAGGAGCAGGGATGTAGGCAAGCAAGGCAACATTTCAGAAGATGGAAGTGTAAAGAATTAAATGGCAATTTGATGCATTCTGCTTCCCCATATGCTCTCTCCCACCCAGCCAGATCGCTGCTATTTATATAGCTTACATTTGAAAGGTCTGTCCATCATCCACTCAGAAACTTAACTCCTGCCCCCTCCCAAGCCTCCTGGGGAACAATAAAACCCCACAGAGGAGCTTCTGGACTCAGGGCCATGGCAATCCCTCCACCAAAAGGTTTAGGGAACAACAGGGGTTCGAGTGGAGGCCACAGAAAATTACAAAGATGAAACTCTGAAGTCACAGAATCCCAGAATGGCCTGGATTGGAAGGGACCTCAAAGCCCATCCAGTGCCACCCCCTGCCGTGGGCAGGGACACCTTCCACTAGCCCAGGGTGCTCCAAGCCCCGTCCAACCTGGGCTTCCACAAGCCCTCATTAAAAAAGAAAAATCAATTAAAAAAATATATAATCTTACTGTACATCCAAGTTGTGTTTCTTCAGCTTCTCCTCCAGATCTGACGAGAAACGGAGATCTGCTCCCACAATGGAATATCGACTGGAGTCAAGGCTGTGGGAATCTGCAAGGTCAAGATTTGGAGAGACTAAGGTTACAAACAGGAGGGATGCTGAAATTATGAATTAAAAAAAAAAAACAAAACCAACACAAGAATACATGACTTGGAAGCTAAAGTTTGGTCTGTTATACCTAACTATGAACAGCAAACTCTTCTTTTCAAAACATGAATTTCCCCTGTACTTGTGGCTTACAGCGATACATCACCAGCAGGCCCTGCAGCAAGCCCACTCTTTCCCTCTGAAGCCACTGTGATGCAGAGAGGTTATCCCAGCCGTTACCATGGTTCCCAGGAATGCAGAGAGGAAGAAAATGCGAAGATTAAAGGCAGGATTTTCATTGTGTTTGTAGAGTCTTTTTAGATGACCCGATGTATGTACGCAGAACTACATAAAAGTACATCAATTTCTGAAAACCGGAGTTAAGAGTAACATATTTCAAATATTCACAACAGATACAGCCATATAAAGTATTGATTTTTATAGTTATAGAATGTATAACGGGATCTGACACAGATTTTGGGCCAAAAAATGTTACAATTTATACTTTTGGCATGATTTAAAGACGGTATTTAAGCAAAGAGTCAAACTGGAGAAGGTATTCTGAGAAACAAACATTGCCCGGGGACACAAGAGGCAGCACATTCCTGTAAATGCTTTCCAGCAGGAAGGAGGAACAAATCCCAGAGGCAAAGGACACTCTGCCATCCAAGCACAGCTGAGGAACCAGCAGAAATGGAGTCTTTCCTGCAACATTTCTGAGCAGCTCCAGGAACCAGAGCAGTTCAGAAAGAGAGTTACAGGGCAAAGAAAGGGAAAAAAAGAAGTTGTGTGGCAAATGATTCAACATTTTGAGTCAAGGCTTTTTCCATGTGCATGTTCTGTAATAGCTTTACTACTTCCCACACCCTTCTATTTCAGTGATTATATCAAGGCCATGATAATGGCATCAAAAAAAGCCACCCAAAAACC